TTCTGGGCTCTCCTGGAGGGGGGAGGGGCGGGGCCGGTCACGCGCGGTATCGCGAATAACGAAACCGGGTTTCTTTCGCGCGTTCACTCCAATCCCTCAACGTCATAAGTTTGTCAGAGCGTCGACCCCTGAAGGTCTCGGCCTTTTCCCCAGAACCGGTGTTTCATCCGTGCCGTTTTGTCGACGTTCCCCAGGGCCCAGGGCCAGTGAGGGCCCCCGTAGGCCGAAAAAATGCATGGCGGAAAGGCGTCCGCCGTGATTTGTTCGTGACTCGATGACTCGACGGGTCTGGGTGTCGGGTGCCCTCTCCCGTTGAGTTCGACTGTGTCCGTGCGGGGGAGCGGGGAGCGCAGGGGTGAACACACACACACACACACACACACACACGCACACAGGCCTCTCCGCGCGCAGCATCTCCGCCTCACAACGCGTGCGGCTCTCCGAGGGCTGTCGAGTGGATCAGCACCGATTGTTGACCCGCGCTGCTATCGGTCCGACATCAGGAGGGGCAAAATGGACGCAGACATTGATCAAAATGCCGGTGAACAGGAGAATGCGGAAACTGCGGGAAGTGGAGAGGAAGGCGCACATCCAGGACACGTGGAGGATACGGGGACTCCTGGGAGTCGTGTCTGTCCACTGTGCGTGCCCCTGGGCCCCTTCAGTGAGCACCCGCGCAGGAGGCGCGGCGCGGCGGCCTCCAGGTCGGCGGCGGGGGCGCGCTGATTCTGCGGCGGGCCCCTGCCGCCTCGTGCGCAGAGGGGGCAGCGAAGAGGGCGCGCGCCCCTCCCCAGACGCGTGTCGGACTGGACGAGAGGCGACGACGCACAGAGGGGGAAGGAGGGGAGGGGAAGGGGGAGGGGAAGGGGGAGGGGAAGGGCACAGAGGGGGAAGGAGGGGAGGGGAAGGGGGAGGGGAAGGGGGAGGGGAAGGGCGAGGGGAAGGGGGAGGAGAAGGAGGAGGGGAAGGGGAAGGGGAAGGGGGAGGGGGAGGGGGGAAGGCCTCATAGAAGGAGGCTGCTTCTTCGAAGGCGCAGGCTTTGTCCGTAGATGAAAGGCCCGCACCTTCTAAGAAGCGGCCTCCTTCCAAGAAGCCTTCCCCCCTCCCCCGAGGTGCCCACCTGTGCGCGCCGGCAAAGGGTAGGATAGGGAAAGAGGGGGTTACGAAATCTACTGTATGCAGCTGGTTTCGGCCCGCCGAGAGGCCCATTCCTCGATACATGAGCGCCTCCCGGCGCCAGGAGGCGCCTTGAAAAACCAGCTGCGTGAGCTGATTATCTACCCTACCGTTTGCTGTCCTACCCTTTCTCCTCCCCCGAGCCTTGCGTCTCTCGGCGTCGCGCCCAGGGGGAAGTGAGAAGGGGCACGCCTTCTCAGAAGGCGGCGGGGCTTCTCAGAAGCCCTCAGGCCTTCTTTGAAGTGCTCTGTGTCTTCGGGGAAGCCTCAGAAAACTTCTCAGAAGGCCAGGGGACTTCCAAGCCTTCTGAGGAGGCCCGCACCTTCTCACTTCCCCCCATGTTCTCCGCCAATCGACAAAGTCGAGACCCAGACCCCCTCGAGTCATGAAAAAGTAGCGACGGACGTTTTGTTGTTATTCTAGATGCTTCGCGTAGCCCCAGTGGCCCATCCAGAATCGATGCCCAGACGAGTTGCCCTGATCAGAGATGTGAAGAATCATGCAGTGGAACAAAGGGCTGGGAGATTAAGACGTCGTATCCTTCGAGTTATGAAAAATATGGACAGACATTTTTTCTTTCTAATGGCCTTCGGCCCATCCCGCCACCGTGCCTGGGTTCTAGGTATGAAGCCTATTGGATGTTTGCTGGGATCTCGTGGTAGATTTCTCGGAGGCCTCCTGGAGGTAGTTCGGAAGCCTTTGGGTGGCCTCTTTGGGGCATCTTTGGGGCCTCTTGGGGACTTTTTTGGGGCCTCTTGGGGGCCTTTTGGGGCCTCCTGGGCGCCTGTTGGGGCCTCCTGGGGGTCTCTTGAGGCGGAAGCCTGAGATTGTCAATTCGTGGTCCTCTGGGGCTCCTCTTGGGGCCGTCTTGAAGCTTTCTTGGGCCGGCTTGGGCGCCTCTTGGGCCGTCTTGGTGCCTTCTTGGGCCTTCTTGGGGCCCGCTAGGGGGCCTTTTAGGCCGTCTTGGGGCGGTCTTCAGGGCTCCTTGTGCCGTCTGAGTGCGTCGAAAAACCGAACAGGCGAGAAGACCAAAAACCATGGAAAACAATAGTAGCATCAATGATTTTGGCATCTCGTGGCCCTTTGGGGGGCCTCTTGGGGGCCTCTTGGGGTGTCCTGGGAGCCTCTTGCACTGTCTTGGGGCCATCTTGGGCGTCTTGGGGCGATCGTTCGCCGACTCTCGGGCCCGCCTTAGGGCCCCCTGGGGCCCCCCGAACATGTCACGCGACAAGCTGCGACGGGGCCCAGGGAAGCAGTGACAGGCGTCAGGAGATTTCGGAATTGTGGGCACGGGCCCGTGAAAGACCCCTCAGGAGTGAGGATTGAGGCTGAGAGGATTAGACAAAGGACCTGAGGACGCGCCCACTGCGTGCCCAGAGGCACGGTGGCGAATATTTTCAGCCACTGGGTGCACTTATAGGGCCTCGGGACTGCAAAGAACGACTCAGGGTGAAAAACCGATCCCGGGGAATGGGTCGAGATTTACTTGGGGGAAACGAAGTGAAAAATCATAACGGCGGGGGTTTGAGAACGCAGGTTTCTCATTGTTTCTGGCCTCTCTGGGCCCTTCAACCGGGCCCCGGGGCCTTCACAATTACGGATCGGTGAGACAAATCTGCACCTGGGAAGTGATCGAGAGGACGGGGAAATCGAGACGCCAGCTGTTTTGGCGCCTTGCCCTTCTCCGCGGTGTGCCCTCCTCAGGTGCAGCGCTACGGTGGGGGACAGGCTGAAGGGGGGATGCATCGACCCCCAATCACCCATTCATATCAGCAAAGAGGAGGATATTTAGAAGAGGAGAAGAATTATTAGTCAGAAGGAGGAGAAGGAGGATGACAAAGAAAGAGGAGCAGGAGAAGGAGGAGGAGACCAGTGCAAACGAAAGGCGCATTTACGATGTTGCATCAGCCCTCCCCCCAAGCTCCCTCTTCAGATGCATTTACAAGAATTTATTATGGAAAGTGAACCATTGGAAGACAACCAGCCCTCAGTCGTGACAGACACGCCATTCCTGGGATTTCAGCGCCGCGAATCAACGTAACTTTTTCGTCCCGGCGATCCTAAATCTCGCCACAGAATTTCTCCTGGTTCTTCAACGCCGCGAATCTACGTGACTATTGCGTCCTGACAATCCCAGATCTTGCCAGAACACCGTTCCTTGGACTTCAACCACGCGGATCTTTCAAAATGTCGAAATTTTCAAGACGAATGTGCACGGCGCTTATGCGAGGACCACCGTTTGAAAAGCAGCAGACATTCTTGAAATTGCTGCAGAGGTTGAAGACGAATGTGCGCGGCGCTACGGCTCGCCCCCCCTTCCCATCCATGAAACTGTTGCACAGTTGACGACGACGGTGCGCGGGGCCAAGGCGAGAGCCGCATTCTGAAAACGGTATGCCCTCCATCCGCGAAGCTGTTGCACAGTTCAAGGTCCAGCATCACAAATGGTGAGGGAGTCTCAGGCGAACCGCCTTGCCCACCCCATCAACACACCTAGGGGTGTGACAGGGAGGAGACATTTACAAGGGAAAGGGACGGACGAAGATGAGGAGGAGGAGGAGAAACCTTGGTGACGAAGAAGAACAAGCAGAAGACGCAACAGCAGGAGAAGAAGGACGGGGAGGACGAGGAGGACGAGGAGGAGAAGGACGACGAGGAGGACGAGAAGGAGGAGGACGAGGAGGAGGAGGACGACGAGAGAAGGACTATGAGAAGAACGATGAGAAGGACGAGGAGGACGAGGAGGAGGACGAGGAGAAGGAGGTGGAGGAAGTCGAGGACGAGAGTGACGAGGAAGAGAAGGAAGAGAAGAAGAACGAGGACAGGAAACGGGGGAGGAGGAGGTGGAGGTGGCGTTGTTCACGTTGCACTGTTGACAGGAGGATGCGATCACTGAGCTAAGTTTGTAACGACGCAGTGTCAACCTCGCAGTGTGTAAGCTTTGCGTGGCTCACACTGGGTTGTTCACACTGGGCTGTTAACCCTGAGCTGTGTCAACAACGTATTATCAAACGCGCATTGCTTCGACATTGCGTTGTTGACACCGCGTTGCTAAGTCTGGGTTGTTGGCACTGCGCTGTCAACACACCAATGTTGACACTGCGATGCGCAAGAGGAAAGCAATAGGAGGAGGCAGAGGAGGAGGAGAAGACTAACCCCGAGTTGTGTCCAGAGCACAGTGTCAACAGCACACTTTTCCAACTGCGCTGCTGACACTGCGTTGTGGACACTGCGCAGTTGAGACTGCGCTGTTGACACTGCGTTGTTGCCACTGCGCTGTGCAGGAGAGGATGATGGGGAGGAGGATAAGGAGGAGGATAAGGAGAAGGAGGAGGAGGAGGAGGAGGAGGAGGGGAAGGAGGCTAACCCCGATCTGTGTCCACAGCGCAGTATCCAGCTGTCTGCGGCAAGTCCCGCTACCGTGACAGCTCACATTGTCGGTGGCGACTGTTCGAGGGGGCACGGGAAGCCGTCACGTGAGGCATTTCGCGTCCCAAAGCTTAAAGAGCTGGGGTCAGGATGATGAGGATGATGACATTGGATGATGATTGCGAGAATGAGGAAGGACGTCACATGTGTTGCTTTTGGTTTCGCTTCTTGCGGAATTATCACGGGTTCCTGTGGGGCGGTCTTGGGGGTCCCTCACGGCCGTCTTGGGGCCCTCTTGGGCCGCCTTGGCTGTCTCTTGGGCCGTCGTGGGGCCGTCACGGGGTCCAGGGGCTCGAGCCCCTCGTGCCATGTCCTCGTGGTCTTCTTTGGCCGTGCTCCAGCTGGCGACGCGCGCACGGACAAGCCCTGGGGCGACGCTTTTGGCCCCCGCCGCCATGTCGCGGCCCGCGTCGCCGGGTTGGAGGCAGGTCTCGCCCCGGGGCCAGGGCGACGCTCCCAGGGCGCTGAGCGGGGGCCCCACGGGCGAGGACGAAGATAGTGGGCCAAAAGCCCTCTTCCCATCTTTCTCTCCTCCCCCTCCTCAGCTTCCGATGCCTCCCCTCCCTCTCCCCCCCCCCAGCTCTCGGCAGGGCGCCCGGCGCCTCTGCGGCCTCGCGGGCCGGGCCCCTGGGCAGCGACCCCGCTGGTACGGGGCGTTTTTTCGCGGACGCCCCGCGCGGTGCGACAGCGTACGGTAGGTTCGCGTCGTGTCGAGCAGCGGCGACCCCCGCAGGCATTCAACGTTGAACGCCGCTGGCGACCCAGAATCGATCGGTCGATGCCGTTGAAAGATCAGACGTTTCGGAAACGGCGGATCGTTCAAGGTCGAACGACCCCCGCGGTGTCAGGAACCAACGCTGGCGTCGGCTCGACACGAGCCCGGGGATCGCGCCCCTGAGTCCAGACCTCACCGAGCGCGTTCCACTACTCGCAAGGTGCCTACTCGCAAACGTTCGATAAAAGCACATGTTTGCCTCGATGCAGTGGATCGTGAATCCAGCGCGGCGGATCAGAGCAATGCGAGTAGTGACTCTGCGAGAATTGTCAAGAGGGGGAAAACACACAGACACAATTAACCGTCCTTCTGCTCTCAGGAAGATATAGGACAGTATGGGACGTGGGGGGAGCAGACGAAAACCCATAATGTATGGGAAAATATTGGGAATCCTGGGATTTGGGTCTAATCATTTGTGTGCCCCTGGGCCCCTTCAAAGTGGAACGCGCTTGTCCGAGACCGCGAGGGGCACGAATGCCGATCTGCTCGGGAGGAGCTCGCGGCCGCGCGGCAGCGCCTCGCCGCTCTCGGTGGCGAGGACGGGGCGCCGCCGCGGGGCTCCCCCGCCGCCCCCGTGGGGGCCGAGGCGGCGGCCGGGCGCGGCCCGGAGCGGACGGGCACGGGGCACGCTGCGGCGCGCCAGGAGCCGTGCCAGGACTGCCCGGCAGCAGAGCACGGGGGAGCCCCGGGAGGACGATGCACGAGAGCCCCACACGAGCCCCGGTGATCGGTCCTGAAGCGCGATGGGAACAACGCAAGCCTTGGAGTCCTTGGGGTGCATCAGCGTGCGCCAGCGTCTGGTAGTCGACGGGACGGCGCCGAGTTAGAGTCGATCAGCGTCGTTTTGGCGTCGATCGGCGCCGATCACCGAGAGCCAGCAAGATGGCAGGGGAGGCTCCCGTGAGTTACCACGGACGAACAGGTGCAAGGATGCCATCCGAAGTCGAAAAAGCAACATAAACATACATCGGCGGCGATATCCGATCCCTGTCTGGGTTTTACAAATAAAAATGGGGGCGCTGATTGGGGCTGTCTTGGATGATTCCAGGAGGTCGTGGGCTAAAGGCCGCTCTTTCATGGCTGGTCTGGGGGGTCTACAATTGCTCGTCTTGGAGGGCTGTGACCCCCTCCCTTTCATCACGAAATGTGGAGTACTCTCGCCGATCAACGATCCAGGCAACTCGATGGGCGGCGGGGGTCGGGTTCGGGATTCGTCGAGCACGTTTCGAGGTCCGAAACCTAATTACCCCCGCCCCCCATCGATTTAGGATAATCGATGGTTGGCGGGGGTAGGGTTCGGATGTCGCCACATAATACATCACATACACATGCAGCCAGATTTCTGTTGCTCAGCATGTCGCGCCACCGGTTCTGGCCCAGCGCGCTTTGGCGCGACACGCTATCCAAGTTCAAGTCCACAGGCGACAACGTCCCGAGCCTTCCCGAGCCTCCCGCTCCAAGGAGCGGAGCGACACGCTATCCGCTCGCAAGGCATAGCGTGTCGTCGGTGCCGCCGCGGCGACACGCCAAGCAAATGTTCCCGACCGTACACAGAAGCTCTCGGAGGTCCGCGCGGGTTTCTTGGGTCGGCACGGCAGCCCCCTGGCGGCGCCTCCGGCGCCGCACCTGGCGCGCTCCGCGCGGATCCAAGGAATCCGCGCAGTTATTGCCGAAAGTATGTGTCTATACCCTCGTTCGTTTCCCGAAGGGGATCGGCGCGGAAGGAATGAGCGAGAGATTCCGCGGCGACGTCGCGAGGCTCGGCAAGGAGCTGCAGATGTGGCAGGAGGAGTGCGAGGCCCAATGCAGGGACCTCGGGAACCTCCGCGCCGAGGTCGGCGGCCTCGACGGCAGGCTGCAGCTCTCGAGGGAGGAGACCGCCGCGGTGAGCAGGGAACTCGAGGGCTCCCGGCTCGCGCTCTCCCACGCGCGCGGCGAGGTGGCGAGGCTGCAGGAGCCGAAGGCAGAAGCAACGGCACAGGCATACACCTTCGACGCTCCGCACGGAGCGGAGCTCCAAGAGTGTGTGTGTGTGTGTGTGTGTTCATCCCCTGTCTTGTTTCGTCCTCGAGCAAACATCTGGCGTCTCGTTTTCGCCCGAGGCGCGGGCACTCGACCCCTCGACCACTTCCACGGGACCCGAGGCCCCGGTAAGGGCCCCGAGAGGCCGAAAGCGGTCCCAGGGACGGGCCGTTGCCTCGGGACTGCATGTTCCCCCTCCTCCGCTCCCTCTGCCGTTCTCCCTCTCCCCGCCTCATTCCTCCTCGCGGTGCTGCGAATTCGTGGAGCTTTCACTTTCTGCTTCACAGTCGGGCGCTTCGTTTTGTGCTTCACAGGCGTGGGGCGCCGCGTTTCTCTTGTGTAGCTGTTGCTTCACAGTCGAGTGTTCGCGCCGTCTGTCGTATAGTACCTTCCGGAGAGCTGCCAATTGCGCACTCTTCTGCCTACGCGTTCTGCTGGACGCTCGGCTCATTCTTCTCCTTCTTCTCCTTCTTCGTCTTCTTCTTCTTCGGGGCCCGGTGAGAGGGCCCCGAGAGCCCGAAAACTATGAGAAAGAATTGCCTCGATTTTTTTGAGGCGCCGGATGTCTGGGTAAGGAGGAGGCCGCGAACTTGCGCAGGGAGCTCGACCAGAGCCGCGGCGAGGGTGCGGGCCTGCGCTGCGAGCTGAAGGGGGCGGAGGCGGCGGCGGCCGACGCGAGGCGGGACGGCGAGGCCTTGCGCGGGGAGTTGCAGCGGTGGAAGGAGGAGGCCGGCAGCGTGTGGCGGGAGCTCGAACAGAGCCGTAGCGAGGGCGCGGGCCTGCGCTGCGAGCTGAAGGGGGCGGAGGCGGCGGCGGCCGACGCGAGGCGGGACGGCGAGGCCTTGCGCGGGGAGCTGCAGCGGTGGAAGGAGTGTCGTTCCGATATCGCTGATATCTGTATGGATATGGAAAGGAAATCCTTTTGCTGCTGCTGCTGCATAGCATAAAACTGGTCAAACGGCCTGAGCCAAACGATAGCAGATATGTGCTATGCTACAACATGCTGCATACACAATTGATCACTCATACTCCTCCGAAATGTACGCTGTACAATTCTATGATCAAAACGCTGCTTCAATCAAACGGAGGATCGGCCGGTCGCTGACCGCTCATCTGCTCAACGCTCGGGCCCAGGGTTCCTAAAGGTTTGGCTGGTTTGCTAAGTGAGCTCACAGGTCAAAGGCAGTAAACAAAAAAAAACTCGCTAGCGTAAAAACTCGCACGTGCATTCAGGGAGGTAGGACGAGGAAGAGGTGGGGATGGTTTTGCACGCTGCCGAACGGCAGCCAACGTACGTCAGCTCAGCGGGGCTCGCGGCTAAGAAACCAAAAAAACTCGGAAATCGGAGTGCACCCCGGACTCGAAATACAAAAAATCTGGAGCTCTCTGGGGTGCCCGTAGTCTGTGGAGCACATATACTGAGTGCTCACACGCATCCAATGATACCTGAAAGATAAAAAAAGACCGCACACTGAGTGCTCACTCAGCCCCCTCGCATCGTTGGAGCACCGCACACTCGCGGAGTGCTCACATGATCGTAGGGCTGTCCACAAAACACATCTCCCTCGAACTTGTGGACTGGGTTGTGGCGCCTCGGACCAGGCGCGAAACCCCTCACGTACGTAGTCTGAGTCATCGTTATCACATCCCTGACCTGGATCCTGTGACCCTCGTCCTTCTCGTGCTTGGGCTTGATCTTGATCTCCATGGGACAGTCGACCTGCTGCGTATTGAGCTGCATGGGGTAGTCGACCTGCTGCGTCTTGAGCTGCATGGGGTAGTCGACCCGCTGCGTCTTGAGCTGCACGGACGGTCTGACCATCATCGTCTCCATCTGCCGGTCTGCTTCTGGCGTGCCAGGCTGCAAAGACAACATCTTCCGCATAACAATATATACCAGCATGCAGAAAAGAGTAAACATGATTCCCAAAGCCACACCTTGCAAGTAGTATAACCAACTCACTGCAGATCCTTCCCCGCTGGGCCGCTGCACGACTGCATGATGGTAAGGCCCTGGCTATGTCGATCGTTGTTCCTCCGCTCCATCGGCCAGAGGTCGAAGCTGGCTCCTGGAATGGACCTGGCGGCCAACGTCAGCAGCTGGACGAGCTTCTTCGACTTGGGAGCTGGGGCCGAGAACTTGACGTCACGGCCGGACATGAAAACCATCAGCATGCCCGCATGCATCACCTTGGTGAGGGCGTCCGCGACCATCGTGTGGGTCGGAATCCACCTCAAAATCGACGTCTTGGGTGCAAAAGTCTCCCTCAGCATGCTGACCACGATCCTCAACCGTTTGTCCTGCACGACTCCGGCGTCCTTTTCCACCGTCTCCTCGAGGTTCTTGCTTTCCGTGAAGGTCGTCATTTTGATGTTGTCGGCTTGCCGCTCCACGTCCTTCAGCTTCGGTGGGCCTCCAAGCTTCGCCGCCATCTTCAGCTCCGTCAGCACCTGGCGGTACCACTCGGCGTGCTCGGATGCCTCACTGATGGCGTAGGCCTCTGCATTGAGGGTGCTTCGCACTACCCTCCGGACACGTCCAGAGCACCATGTAAGCGGAATCAATTCGCTAAATTTCCTTTGGGCAACCTCCTAAGGCTTGTGAGTCAAGCCCCCGACGAGACCGCACTGCGACCGCTCGCCCTCGGCGTTGGCGAAGGCGGAGTCACCGTAGAACACCAGCTGCGCCGTCGGGATACGAACTCGACCCCGGACGAGCCGAACTCCCAGCGTCGGACTTTGCTTGAGCTCGGTAACCAGCTGGTTGAGGGTGATGAGGTCCTGGACCTTGAGTTTGCTGATACGTTGGGCTACCAAGTTCTGCTTGCAGGCTGCATCTGGACGAGACCTCGTAGCAACCCACTGCACCTGTCCATTCGTCGTCCTGAAGCTGCTGATCTCTTCGGGTGTCGCCTCCGACTTGGGCATCTTCATGCGGTTCGCGTGAATGGGGGTATACTCGGTCGCCCTGATCGCCTTCTCCTGAGTCACGTTGGTAAACCCCGGCGTCATCTGCACCCTCGTACCAAGGTAGTCGACGTCGCCAACCTTTTTGGCAAGGTGCAGGCGCTTCTCGAGCTCCGGCATGATCTTGAGGACGTAGGTGTTGGATTGCTTCCTGGCAAAGAACATGTTATCAACGTGGGAGTGGATGACCAGTATGATCTCACCCTGGTGAGCCAAGTAGTACCATCCTCGCTCCAGCTTGCTTTCATGAATCTGATATCCACTGAGAACTGACTTCAATACAGCTCTGCCAGCGTCCTTCGTGCCGTAGATGCTGCCCGTCCCGAAGAAGATCTGTCCTGGGACAGTGCCTGGGGGAGGATTCTCCATCGGCATCTTGATCATGAGGACTCGTCGATGCCTTCTGCCTGCAAATAAGCACTCTTGGCATCGAAGAAAGCGCCATCCCAACCATGTTGTGCTGCAAACCCCGCCGTGAGCCAGAATGCGTCGCGGCTCCCAGTCGGAGCGTCCGTACGAATGCCCAGGTCGTTCTCCTGACACCCTTGCACCACGAGCCTCGCCTTGAAGGTGTCGGTGTCCTTCTCAGTCAAAACCCATCTGGTACCAACAACCTCCAGCTGTGGCTTCTTCCGCTTGAGCTGGGCGAGCTCCTCCCTGGAACAAAACCGTACTGCATTGAATGCCAGCCATTTGTCCCATTCCGAAGCCATAGCCTTCCTCATCTTGACCTGGTTGCCACCCGTCAGGTTCCTGAAGGTCAGCTCCTTGCTCCTCGACTTGCCCACGAGGTCCACGCGCCTGAACCTGGTCGGGTAGAGGGTGGAGTAGTCTAAGTCGACCGACTCCTTCAGAGAGAGCTCCATGATCAGATGCTCGTCAACCCTGGGCTTCTGGGTGACTTGCCGATCTTGAAGCATTCGTCGGATACTCTGCGGCACATCGTCGAGGGGATAGTATCTCGTAGTGCTCCTCCTTGCCTGGAGGTTCTGCCGAATGCTGGTAGGTAGATCATCGAGTGGGTCGTAGCGAGGTCGCCGTTGCTGACGACGCTCCTCCACGACGGGTGTCTCAGGCTCCGGTGCAGGGGCCTGCTGTTCTGGTGGATACGGCGTCTCCTGGTCCTCGTCCACGTCGAGGTCCTCGTCGAGGTCGGGTACGCCCTGGTGGACCCACGGAGTCTCGGGCTCCTGCTCGTACAGGTCTGGGTCGAAGGCGTCCGGGACCTGACTGGAGTGCGCCCGCTGGTGCTGCTCCTGGTCGGTGATCGGCTGCTCGTAGGGCGTCTCGGGCTCCACTGGGACCGGGTCGGGATCTGGATGCTGCAGCTGTGTTGGCGGCATCTCCACTGGGATCTCGGACTCGGGCTCGGGAGCAAAACGTGGTCGCTTCGCCTCTGGGTCGGCCGACTGATCAGGGCCCGAAGTAGCATCGAAATCGTGTGGGGGCCCTCGGGTATCCTCCTCGGCCGTACCCTCGCGACGGTAGCCAAACTGTCCAGGCCGCTTCCCAGTCTGACGCCGTTCTGCAGTAGGGTGAGTATGGGTAGGACCGGGGATATCCTCGTCGTCGACGGTCATGTCATCGTAGTCGGTGTCGGTCCCCGGGGGGTCCTCCATGTAGGACGTGTCCTCTTGGAACTCGGGCTCGTCATCATGGGCCAGAGCGTCGAACATCTCATTCCAGGGCACGCGCTCTTCTGGAAGCGCAGGCCAGACGTGCTTCGGGAAGCACTTGAGAGTGGCGTTCCCATGCGAAACCCAGACATTGTTCCCCTCGTAGCCGATGACAGCCCCGGGGCCATGCCACTCGAAGTTCCACATCTTCTTGGCCTTGTTCAGGCCACGCCAGTAAAAGACTTGATCTCCGATGCTGAAGTTGAGGCTCGAAGGCCGAGCCGCCTGTCCGCGACTCTTGTCCAGGAAGGCTGCTGAAAGACGACGATCATACTCGACTGCTTGCGCTGCACGCTGAGCTGCAGCAAGCATGCCCATGCGCTGCTGGAACGTCTGGTCGTCCCTGGCGCGCTGGTGGAGCGAGAGCCTCACGTGGTTGGAAAGAATACTGTAGGGCAATCGGTACCCACGTCCGAGCACCCACTGCGCAGGGCTGTACCCTGATGGCCCCACCTTGCTGTTCTTCGCCCAGTTAACCACGGTGCAGAGCCACTCCACAGCGCCCGGGACGGTGAAATCGATCTGGTACTCGTCGATGATGGCTTTGGCAATGTACTTCCATTCGCCGCCATGCCGCTCGCAGACACTGTTCTGCGTGGGGCTCAGGGCGGCGGTGGCGATGAGCTCGGCGCCCATGCCCTCGAGCTCGCTGCGGAACTCTCTCTCGAACTCACCTCCGAGATCTGCAATACTCGCCTGGGGCGGCCCAGCCCAGCTCATCCATCTCGTAAGTAGGGTCGTCCATGATGTGATAGGCTTCTTGTCGTCCTGCGGGGCCACTAGCTGGAAGGTGGTGGCCACGTCGACGTTGTTCTGGAGCTGAGCCTGGTGGCCCTCGATGTCGGCGAGGGTCATCAGGTCGGTAGCCACTCCATCGCCGAGCTCGCCGAACTTGGACCTCAGGTCCGCTGGCGTGGAGATGTCAGGAGACTTCCGCCTCTCGCAATCAGGACAGCGGTGCGCCTCCGCTGCAGCGATCGCCTCAGCCGAGCCACCCTGCAACCGAATGGCACTAGCAAGGCTAGCGCTGGTCGGATGGCCGGTGTTGGTGTGCACCAGCTTGACCACTCGCTCGAGCTGCACCCGCCGGGTCCATCGCGTCGAGGACCGCCTTGGCGCGGGCAGTGACCTCCCTGTCGTGGGCCACCGGCAGGACATCGTAGCCACGTCGAATTGCTCGCAGCCCTGAGGCGATGTCCTTCACGAGCGAGACGGTGTAGCGAACAGTCTGGTTGAGGTCCTTCCCGCCAACCACCTTCGCGTGGACATGCGTCCCGTCGCACTTCTTGTAGAGCTTCTCGGCTGTTGGTTGGTCAGGACCTTGAACCTCTTCCGAATTGGCTCGCCTTTACTGGTCTTGATGCCGTACCGACAACCGTCAAACACGGCTCGTAGTCCAAGAATCTGTTGAATCTGAAAAAGCTCCTTCGGCATGTATCTATCACTCCATATGTTACTCACGAAGGGTAGCTCGAATCCCGTCGGTATGGCATGAGGCCGCAACTCTGTCAAAAGCCAACGTATGTTACGTAGAATAGTCTTGTTCTCCTGTCGGGCCATCCTCAATCGAACTCGTTGAGCCAGCGTCCTGGAATTCCAAAGCCGTTGGTAAGTACACCACGGAGTGCACAGGATACTGATCCAAACCACTGGTATCCTGCCGAGCTTCTTCTCCTTCATGACCTCCACGAGTATACCCTCGACGGTCTTCTTCCTACGCAGGTCGCACTGTGGTAGGTGTACTCCTCGGAAGGCTCGATCCTGTCTTCCAGTGGCGTTGAACTCTCTCCCTAGCAAACTATTGGGCTCGCACGCCAGCTCGAACAGGCTGTAGCTCCTTGGGCGCCCTCGTCTGATAGCTGCAATTGCCTGCCCATGTACCTGATCTGCTTGCTCGAGCTGGATCAGCTCCTTCACCTTGTTCGTGCTCACGTTGTGGTCGTGCAGGTCTTCGCCTTTGTGATCCCTGCGAGGTTCTGCTTCTGCTGGCCGCGCTTCATGAACCGCCAGCTGGCGTTCTGGAGGAGATTAGCGTAGTCTCCTTCAGCCAGGCCAGCCATGTCCACATCATACTTGCACCAGGGCACAGGCCCTGCTCGCACACGTACCAGCGCCACATGAGCAAGTGAAAGTAGCTGGGTTCGCACAAATGTAGCAATCATGGCCTCCCGGAGGCCTGTCATGAAACGTGACCTTCTTGAGGTTCTGGGTCTGGCTGACACTGGCGACCTCCTTGACTGCTTCCGCGGCCGGGCCGAGGCCTTGACCACAGGTCGAGGTGGCCGCCTGAGCTCCACACACAAGTGCCATGATCCTCGACGCCGCCTTGACACCTGTTGTCCTCGGTCGGAGCCTCCTGGGCAACTCGTCGGTGGCATTCTTGTCCCGGGAGGGGCTGCGCAGCACATGGTAGGCGTCGGGGTTTAGGTCCAGCATGTAGTGTCCAGTAGACCTATCCTGTAACAAATCTGCCTTGTGAGGTCCAATCGTAATCCGTCTCGGTGGTGACGTCTTGATCTCGGCGTGCACGGACTCCAGGTAGTCTCGTCCCAACAGGAGGTTGAGCCCTGGAATCTCCAGCAGGTGCTCTTTGATGAAGTGCGGTACCTTCGCTGCCGCCACAGGGAACCTGACTTGAGTATCTGAATCTGTCGTACCGCCATCTCCGAACTTGAAAGTCTCGTGCACGGACTCGAAGGTCACAAGCTTGTCGAGGCCGAGTGCCTTCCAGTGCCCGTAGTAGTCATCCCACCACACGGTACCCATCACACTCCTGGCGCATGCCGAGTCGATTGAGCCCTTCTTGTGCATCGGGGACGGGTCCACGACCACCGTGTTCTGCAGCACGGCGAGGGGGAACGTCATCTCTACTGCCAAAAACTCCATCTCATCGTCGTCCAGGTCAACTCCAGTCGCCACTTCTTGAACCTCCCGTGCTCCTGGACACTCTGGGTCGCCAGCCCAATGACCCCAACCATCGCACACGCGGCACTGAGAGTTCTTCTTGCGCTTGTCGAGGGTGTCCTTGATCGGCTGAAACTTGCCTCCACGTCCTGGCTTCTTGCCCGCAGTAGACCTGCCTCGCCCGCGTCCAGACCGCTGTGGAGGTGCCACCGCAGCGCCCCCAGAGCTCGAAGAGCCGCCCTACCTGAGGCTGTTCCGAGCCTGTCGTACTGTAGCGAGCGCCTCCGGCAACTCCGAGAGCTGGACCGCCGCCTTCTCGACCGCCTCGGCCGGGTCGTGGTCCAGCTCCTCCTCATTGATGTCCCCGAGGTCGGTGGCCAACGCCTCGAGCTCGCGCTGCACGAGCTCCTCGATGCCGTCGTCGTCGGCCTCATCCTCCTCCGGGCCCTCGTCATCCTCGTACTCCGTCACGTTAACTGCTTTGGGTGGTGGCCGTCCCTTGCCACCTTGCTGGGTCTTCTTCTGCTCGAAGGGTCGCCGCTGCTGTGGGTGACCGCGCTCATTATGATTATGTCTTGAAAAATCCGCATCGCCGTCGTCTGAACCTCTCGCAACTCGAAGGTGTCACTCGGTAGCGCTGCTATGAGTCTCTCACGCTGTGATCTCGTGATATTGAGCCGCCGCATAAAGAACCAGCCAAGAATATCTGAATCTTCCGTGAGCTCCACGCCGTCTTCGGACAGTTTCGTCAAGCCTTGGTCGAAGATCGTGATGTAGTCTGAGATCCTGGTATCAGCTTTGCGTGCGTTCTTTTGCGTCTCGAAGAAATCCGTCATCGTCTCGCCCTTCCTACACACCTTGGGTGGACACAGAGACTCGAGCGCCTCCATCAGGTTCTGGATGCCTCGCTTGAGGTCCAGGGGAACAGCTTCGACCGTGATCTCGCCAATTGTGCTTGTCTTTACCCTCTGGTGGGTCGGCTCGAACTTCTTGTCCTCGAAACGGTTGCAGGTCTTCGTTGCTGAGCTTGAGGGCCTTCGGTCTCGTAGCTCCTCGGAGCTTCCTGATCATACGCGCTGCGATGCTGTACTGAACGTCTAGATTCAACCCCAGCGTCCATATGCGAACCTCTTCTGTGTAGGTCATCCACGACGAGGGGTTGCCATCCCAGCCTGGAATGTAGCTGTCCTCTCTCTCCAGATTAGCGTCCATCTGTGTAGGTCGCCCGCCGCTGCTGAGAAACCACACAAGAGATAGGAAGAGGACGAGCATGTAGTAGAGGAACAGGGTGACGAGGAACAGAGTGATGGGAGAGTCCTGCGCTGCAGGCGGCCGCGCTGCGACCAGGGCCAAGAGCCCGCCGGCGCAGCCGCCGCGGTATGAACCGCTTCGCTGCCACTGTCGTTCCGATATCGCTGATATCTGGATGGATATGGAGAGGAAATCCTTTTGCTGCTGCTGCTGCTGCTGCGTAGCATAACTGGTCAAAGCGCCTCAACCAAACGATAGCAGATATGTGCTATGCTACAACATGCTGCATACACAATTGATCACTCACAAGGAGGAGGCCGGCAGCAAGTGGCGGGAGCTCGAACAGAGCCGTGCCGAGGTCGGCGGCCTCGACGGCAGGCTGCAGCTCTCGAGGGAGGAGACCGCCGCGGTGAGCAGGGAACTCGAGGGCTCCCGGCTCGCGCTCTCCCACGCGCGCGGCGAGGTGGCGAGGCTGCAGGAGCCGAAGGCAGAAGCAACGGCACAGGCATACACCTTCGACGCTCCGCACGGAGCGGAGCTCCAAGAGTGTGTGTGTGTGTGTGTGTTCATCCCCTGTCTTGTTTCGTCCTCGAGCAAACATCTGGCGTCTCGTTTTCGCCCGAGGCGCGGGCACTCGACCCCTCGACCACTTCCACGGGACCCGAGGCCCCGGTAAGGGCCCCGAGAGGCCGAAAGCGGTCCCAGGGACGGGCCGTTGCCTCGGGACTGCATGTTCCCCCTCCTCCGCTCCCTCTGCCGTTCTCCCTCTCCCCGCCTCATTCCTCCTCGCGGTGCTGCGAATTCGTGGAGCTTTCACTTTCTGCTTCACAGTCGGGCGCTTCGTTTTGTGCTTCACAGGCGTGGGGCGCCGCGTTTCTCTTGTGTAGCTGTTGCTTCACAGTCGAGTGTTCGCGCCGTCTGTCGTATAGTACCTTCCGGAGAGCTGCCAATTGCGCACTCTTCTGCCTACGCGTTCTGCTGGACGCTCGGCTCATTCTTCTCCTTCTTCTCCTTCTTCGTCTTCTTCTTCTTCGGGGCCCGGTGAGAGGGCCCCGAGAGCCCGAAAACTATGAGAAAGAATTGCCTCGATTTTTTTGAGGCGCCGGATGTCTGGGTAAGGAGGAGGCCGCGAACTTGCGCAGGGAGCTCGACCAGAGCCGCGGCGAGGGTGCGGGCCTGCGCTGCGAGCTGAAGGGGGCGGAGGCGGCGGCGGCCGACGCGAGGCGGGACGGCGAGGCCTTGCGCGGGGAGTTGCAGCGGTGGAAGGAGGAGGCCGGCAGCGTGTGGCGGGAGCTCGAACAGAGCCGTAGCGAGGGCGCGGGCCTGCGCTGCGAGCTGAAGGGGGCGGAGGCGGCGGCGGCCGACGCGAGGCGGGACGGCGAGGCCTTGCGCGGGGAGCTGCAGCGGTGGAAGGAGTGTCGTTCCGATATCGCTGATATCTGTATGGATATGGAAAGGAAATCCTTTTGCTGCTGCTGCTGCATAGCATAAAACTGGTCAAACGGCCTGAGCCAAACGATAGCAGATATGTGCTATGCTACAACATGCTGCATACACAATTGATCACTCACACTCCTCCGAAATGTACGCTGTACAATTCTATGATCAAAACGCTGCTTCAATCAAACGGAGGATCGGCCGGTCGCTGACCGCTCATCTGCTCAACGCTCGGGCCCAGGGTTCCTAAAGGTTTGGCTGGTTTGCTAAGTGAGCTCACAGGTCAAAGGCAGTAAACAAAAAAAAACTCGCTAGCGTAAAAACTCGCACGTGCATTCAGGGAGGTAGGACGAGGAAGAGGTGGGGATGGTTTTGCACGCTGCCGAACGGCAGCCAACGTACGTCAGCTCAGCGGGGCTCGCGGCTAAGAAACCAAAAAAACTCGGAAATCGGAGTGCACCCCGGACTCGAAATACAAAAAATCTGGAGCTCTCTGGGGTGCCCGTAGTCTGTGGAGCACATATACTGAGTGCTCACACGCATCCAATGATACCTGAAAGATAAAAAAAGACCGCACACTGAGTGCTCACTCAGCCCCCTCGCATCGTTGGAGCACCGCACACTCGCGGAGTGCTCACATGATCGTAGGGCTGTCCACAAAACACATCTCCCTCGAACTTGTGGACTGGGTTGTGGCGCCTCGGACCAGGCGCGAAACCCCTCACGTACGTAGTCTGAGTCATCGTTATCACATCCCTGACCTGGATCCTGTGACCCTCGTCCTTCTCGTGCTTGGGCTTGATCTTGATCTCCATGGGACAGTCGACCTGCTGCGTATTGAGCTGCATGGGGTAGTCGACCTGCTGCGTCTTGAGCTGCATGGGGTAGTCGACCCGCTGCGTCTTGAGCTGCACGGACGGTCTGACCATCATCGTCTCCATCTGCCGGTCTGCTTCTGGCGTGCCAGGCTGCAAAGACAACATCTTCCGCATAACAATATATACCAGCATGCAGAAAAGAGTAAACATGATTCCCAAAGCCACACCTTGCAAGTAGTATAACCAACTCACTGCAGATCCTTCCCCGCTGGGCCGCTGCACGACTGCATGATGGTAAGGCCCTGGCTATGTCGATCGTTGTTCCTCCGCTCCATCGGCCAGAGGTCGAAGCTGGCTCCTGGAATGGACCTGGCGGCCAACGTCAGCAGCTGGACGAGCTTCTTCGACTTGGGAGCTGGGGCCGAGAACTTGACGTCACGGCCGGACATGAAAACCATCAGCATGCCCGCATGCATCACCTTGGTGAGGGCGTCCGCGACCATCGTGTGGGTCGGAATCCACCTCAAAATCGACGTCTTGGGTGCAAAAGTCTCCCTCAGCATGCTGACCACGATCCTCAACCGTTTGTCCTGCACGACTCCGGCGTCCTTTTCCACCGTCTCCTCGAGGTTCTTGCTTTCCGTGAAGGTCGTCATTTTGATGTTGTCGGCTTGCCGCTCCACGTCCTTCAGCTTCGGTGGGCCTCCAAGCTTCGCCGCCATCTTCAGCTCCGTCAGCACCTGGCGGTACCACTCGGCGTGCTCGGATGCCTCACTGATGGCGTAGGCCTCTGCATTGAGGGTGCTTCGCACTACCCTCCGGACACGTCCAGAGCACCATGTAAGCGGAATCAATTCGCTAAATTTCCTTTGGGCAACCTCCTAAGGCTTGTGAGTCAAGCCCCCGACGAGACCGCACTGCGACCGCTCGCCCTCGGCGTTGGCGAAGGCGGAGTCACCGTAGAACACCAGCTGCGCCGTCGGGATACGAACTCGACCCCGGACGAGCCGAACTCCCAGCGTCGGACTTTGCTTGAGCTCGGTAACCAGCTGGTTGAGGGTGATGAGGTCCTGGACCTTGAGTTTGCTGATACGTTGGGCTACCAAGTTCTGCTTGCAGGCTGCATCTGGACGAGACCTCGTAGCAACCCACTGCACCTGTCCATTCGTCGTCCTGAAGCTGCTGATCTCTTCGGGTGTCGCCTCCGACTTGGGCATCTTCATGCGGTTCGCGTGAATGGGGGTATACTCGGTCGCCCTGATCGCCTTCTCCTGAGTCACGTTGGTAAACCCCGGCGTCATCTGCACCCTCGTACCAAGGTAGTCGACGTCGCCAACCTTTTTGGCAAGGTGCAGGCGCTTCTCGAGCTCCGGCATGATCTTGAGGACGTAGGTGTTGGATTGCTTCCTGGCAAAGAACATGTTATCAACGTGGGAGTGGATGACCAGTATGATCTCACCCTGGTGAGCCAAGTAGTACCATCCTCGCTCCAGCTTGCTTTCATGAATCTGATATCCACTGAGAACTGACTTCAATACAGCTCTGCCAGCGTCCTTCGTGCCGTAGATGCTGCCCGTCCCGAAGAAGATCTGTCCTGGGACAGTGCCTGGGGGAGGATTCTCCATCGGCATCTTGATCATGAGGACTCGTCGATGCCTTCTGCCTGCAAATAAGCACTCTTGGCATCGAAGAAAGCGCCATCCCAACCATGTTGTGCTGCAAACCCCGCCGTGAGCCAGAATGCGTCGCGGCTCCCAGTCGGAGCGTCCGTACGAATGCCCAGGTCGTTCTCCTGACACCCTTGCACCACGAGCCTCGCCTTGAAGGTGTCGGTGTCCTTCTCAGTCAAAACCCATCTGGTACCAACAACCTCCAGCTGTGGCTTCTTCCGCTTGAGCTGGGCGAGCTCCTCCCTGGAACAAAACCGTACTGCATTGAATGCCAGCCATTTGTCCCATTCCGAAGCCATAGCCTTCCTCATCTTGACCTGGTTGCCACCCGTCAGGTTCCTGAAGGTCAGCTCCTTGCTCCTCGACTTGCCCACGAGGTCCACGCGCCTGAACCTGGTCGGGTAGAGGGTGGAGTAGTCTAAGTCGACCGACTCCTTCAGAGAGAGCTCCATGATCAGATGCTCGTCAACCCTGGGCTTCTGGGTGACTTGCCGATCTTGAAGCATTCGTCGGATACTCTGCGGCACATCGTCGAGGGGATAGTATCTCGTAGTGCTCCTCCTTGCCTGGAGGTTCTGCCGAATGCTGGTAGGTAGATCATCGAGTGGGTCGTAGCGAGGTCGCCGTTGCTGACGACGCTCCTCCACGACGGGTGTCTCAGGCTCCGGTGCAGGGGCCTGCTGTTCTGGTGGATACGGCGTCTCCTGGTCCTCGTCCACGTCGAGGTCCTCGTCGAGGTCGGGTACGCCCTGGTGGACCCACGGAGTCTCGGGCTCCTGCTCGTACAGGTCTGGGTCGAAGGCGTCCGGGACCTGACTGGAGTGCGCCCGCTGGTGCTGCTCCTGGTCGGTGATCGGCTGCTCGTAGGGCGTCTCGGGCTCCACTGGGACCGGGTCGGGATCTGGATGCTGCAGCTGTGTTGGCGGCATCTCCACTGGGATCTCGGACTCGGGCTCGGGAGCAAAACGTGGTCGCTTCGCCTCTGGGTCGGCCGACTGATCAGGGCCCGAAGTAGCATCGAAATCGTGTGGGGGCCCTCGGGTATCCTCCTCGGCCGTACCCTCGCGACGGTAGCCAAACTGTCCAGGCCGCTTCCCAGTCTGACGCCGTTCTGCAGTAGGGTGAGTATGGGTAGGACCGGGGATATCCTCGTCGTCGACGGTCATGTCATCGTAGTCGGTGTCGGTCCCCGGGGGGTCCTCCATGTAGGACGTGTCCTCTTGGAACTCGGGCTCGTCATCATGGGCCAGAGCGTCGAACATCTCATTCCAGGGCACGCGCTCTTCTGGAAGCGCAGGCCAGACGTGCTTCGGGAAGCACTTGAGAGTGGCGTTCCCATGCGAAACCCAGACATTGTTCCCCTCGTAGCCGATGACAGCCCCGGGGCCATGCCACTCGAAGTTCCACATCTTCTTGGCCTTGTTCAGGCCACGCCAGTAAAAGACTTGATCTCCGATGCTGAAGTTGAGGCTCGAAGGCCGAGCCGCCTGTCCGCGACTCTTGTCCAGGAAGGCTGCTGAAAGACGACGATCATACTCGACTGCTTGCGCTGCACGCTGAGCTGCAGCAAGCATGCCCATGCGCTGCTGGAACGTCTGGTCGTCCCTGGCGCGCTGGTGGAGCGAGAGCCTCACGTGGTTGGAAAGAATACTGTAGGGCAATCGGTACCCACGTCCGAGCACCCACTGCGCAGGGCTGTACCCTGATGGCCCCACCTTGCTGTTCTTCGCCCAGTTAACCACGGTGCAGAGCCACTCCACAGCGCCCGGGACGGTGAAATCGATCTGGTACTCGTCGATGATGGCTTTGGCAATGTACTTCCATTCGCCGCCATGCCGCTCGCAGACACTGTTCTGCGTGGGGCTCAGGGCGGCGGTGGCGATGAGCTCGGCGCCCATGCCCTCGAGCTCGCTGCGGAACTCTCTCTCGAACTCACCTCCGAGATCTGCAATACTCGCCTGGGGCGGCCCAGCCCAGCTCATCCATCTCGTAAGTAGGGTCGTCCATGATGTGATAGGCTTCTTGTCGTCCTGCGGGGCCACTAGCTGGAAGGTGGTGGCCACGTCGACGTTGTTCTGGAGCTGAGCCTGGTGGCCCTCGATGTCGGCGAGGGTCATCAGGTCGGTAGCCACTCCATCGCCGAGCTCGCCGAACTTGGACCTCAGGTCCGCTGGCGTGGAGATGTCAGGAGACTTCCGCCTCTCGCAATCAGGACAGCGGTGCGCCTCCGCTGCAGCGATCGCCTCAGCCGAGCCACCCTGCAACCGAATGGCACTAGCAAGGCTAGCGCTGGTCGGATGGCCGGTGTTGGTGTGCACCAGCTTGACCACTCGCTCGAGCTGCACCCGCCGGGTCCATCGCGTCGAGGACCGCCTTGGCGCGGGCAGTGACCTCCCTGTCGTGGGCCACCGGCAGGACATCGTAGCCACGTCGAATTGCTCGCAGCCCTGAGGCGATGTCCTTCACGAGCGAGACGGTGTAGCGAACAGTCTGGTTGAGGTCCTTCCCGCCAACCACCTTCGCGTGGACATGCGTCCCGTCGCACTTCTTGTAGAGCTTCTCGGCTGTTGGTTGGTCAGGACCTTGAACCTCTTCCGAATGGGCTCGCCTTTACTGGTCTTGATGCCGTACCGACAACCGTCAAACACGGCTCGTAGTCCAAGAATCTGTTGAATCTGAAAAAGCTCCTTCGGCATGTATCTATCACTCCATATGTTACTCACGAAGGGTAGCTCGAATCCCGTCGGTATGGCATGAGGCCGCAACTCTGTCAAAAGCCAACGTATGTTACGTAGAATAGTCTTGTTCTCCTGTCGGGCCATCCTCAATCGAACTCGTTGAGCCAGCGTCCTGGAATTCCAAAGCCGTTGGTAAGTACACCACGGAGTGCACAGGATACTGATCCAAACCACTGGTATCCTGCCGAGCTTCTTCTCCTTCATGACCTCCACGAGTATACCCTCGACGGTCTTCTTCCTACGCAGGTCGCACTGTGGTAGGTGTACTCCTCGGAAGGCTCGATCCTGTCTTCCAGTGGCGTTGAACTCTCTCCCTAGCAAACTATTGGGCTCGCACGCCAGCTCGAACAGGCTGTAGCTCCTTGGGCGCCCTCGTCTGATAGCTGCAATTGCCTGCCCATGTACCTGATCTGCTTGCTCGAGCTGGATCAGCTCCTTCACCTTGTTCGTGCTCACGTTGTGGTCGTGCAGGTCTTGGCCTTTGTGATCCCTGCGAGGTTCTGCTTCTGCTGGCCGCGCTTCATGAACCGCCAGCTGGCGTTCTGGAGGAGATTAGCGTAGTCTCCTTCAGCCAGGCCAGCCATGTCCACATCATACTTGCACCAGGGCACAGGCCCTGCTCGCACACGTACCAGCGCCACATGAGCAAGTGAAAGTAGCTGGGTTCGCACAAATGTAGCAATCATGGCCTCCCGGAGGCCTGTCATGAAACGTGACCTTCTTGAGGTTCTGGGTCTGGCTGACACTGGCGACCTCCTTGACTGCTTCCGCGGCCGGGCCGAGGCCTTGACCACAGGTCGAGGTGGCCGCCTGAGCTCCACACACAAGTGCCATGATCCTCGACGCCGCCTTGACACCTGTTGTCCTCGGTCGGAGCCTCCTGGGCAACTCGTCGGTGGCATTCTTGTCCCGGGAGGGGCTGCGCAGCACATGGTAGGCGTCGGGGTTTAGGTCCAGCATGTAGTGTCCAGTAGACCTATCCTGTAACAAATCTGCCTTGTGAGGTCCAATCGTAATCCGTCTCGGTGGTGACGTCTTGATCTCGGCGTGCACGGACTCCAGGTAGTCTCGTCCCAACAGGAGGTTGAGCCCTGGAATCTCCAGCAGGTGCTCTTTGATGAAGTGCGGTACCTTCGCTGCCGCCACAGGGAACCTGACTTGAGTATCTGAATCTGTCGTACCGCCATCTCCGAACTTGAAAGTCTCGTGCACGGACTCGAAGGTCACAAGCTTGTCGAGGCCGAGTGCCTTCCAGTGCCCGTAGTAGTCATCCCACCACACGGTACCCATCACACTCCTGGCGCATGCCGAGTCGATTGAGCCCTTCTTGTGCATCGGGGACGGGTCCACGACCACCGTGTTCTGCAGCACGGCGAGGGGGAACGTCATCTCTACTGCCAAAAACTCCATCTCATCGTCGTCCAGGTCAACTCCAGTCGCCACTTCTTGAACCTCCCGTGCTCCTGGACACTCTGGGTCGCCAGCCCAATGACCCCAACCATCGCACACGCGGCACTGAGAGTTCTTCTTGCGCTTGTCGAGGGTGTCCTTGATCGGCTGAAACTTGCCTCCACGTCCTGGCTTCTTGCCCGCAGTAGACCTGCCTCGCCCGCGTCCAGACCGCTGTGGAGGTGCCACCGCAGCGCCCCCAGAGCTCGAAGAGCCGCCCTACCTGAGGCTGTTCCGAGCCTGTCGTACTGTAGCGAGCGCCTCCGGCAACTCCGAGAGCTGGACCGCCGCCTTCTCGACCGCCTCGGCCGGGTCGTGGTCCAGCTCCTCCTCATTGATGTCCCCGAGGTCGGTGGCCAACGCCTCGAGCTCGCGCTGCACGAGCTCCTCGATGCCGTCGTCGTCGGTCTCATCCTCCTCCGGGCCCTCGTCATCCTCGTACTCCGTCACGTTAACTGCTTTGGGTGGTGGCCGTCCCTTGCCACCTTGCTGGGTCTTCTTCTGCTCGAAGGGTCGCCGCTGCTGTGGGTGACCGCGCTCATTATGATTATGTCTTGAAAAATCCGCATCGCCGTCGTCTGAACCTCTCGCAACTCGAAGGTGTCACTCGGTAGCGCTGCTATGAGTCTCTCACGCTGTGATCTCGTGATATTGAGCCGCCGCATAAAGAACCAGCCAAGAATATCTGAATCTTCCGTGAGCTCCACGCCGTCTTCGGACAGTTTCGTCAAGCCTTGGTCGAAGATCGTGATGTAGTCTGAGATCCTGGTACCAGCTTTGCGTGCGTTCTTTTGCGTCTCGAAGAAATCCGTCATCGTCTCGCCCTTCCTACACACCTTGGGTGGACACAGAGACTCGAGCGCCTCCATCAGGTTCTGGATGCCTCGCTTGAGGTCCAGGGGAACAGCTTCGACCGTGATCTCGCCAATTGTGCTTGTCTTTACCCTCTGGTGGGTCGGCTCGAACTTCTTGTCCTCGAAACGGTTGCAGGTCTTCGTTGCTGAGCTTGAGGGCCTTCGGTCTCGTAGCTCCTCGGAGCTTCCTGATCATACGCGCTGCGATGCTGTACTGAACGTCTAGATTCAACCCCAGCGTCCATATGCGAACCTCTTCTGTGTAGGTCATCCACGACGAGGGGTTGCCATCCCAGCCTGGAATGTAGCTGTCCTCTCTCTCCAGATTAGCGTCCATCTGTGTAGGTCGCCCGCCGCTGCTGAGAAACCACACAAGAGATAGGAAGAGGACGAGCATGTAGTAGAGGAACAGGGTGACGAGAAACAGAGTGATGGGAGAGTCCTGCGCTGCAGGCGGCCGCGCTGCGACCAGGGCCAAGAGCCCGCCGGCGCAGCCGCCGCGGTATGAACCGCTTCGCTGCCACTGTCGTTCCGATATCGCTGATATCTGGATGGATATGGAGAGGAAATCCTTTTGCTGCTGCTGCTGCTGCTGCGTAGCATAACTGGTCAAAGCGCCTCAACCAAACGATAGCAGATATGTGCTATGCTACAACATGCTGCATACACAATTGATCACTCACAAGGAGGAGGCCGGCAGCAAGTGGCGGGAGCTCGAACAGAGCCGTGCCGAGGTCGGCGGCCTCGACGGCAAGCTGCAGCTCTCGAGGGAGGAGACCGCCGCGGTGAGCAGGGAACTCGAGGGCTCCCGGCTCGCGCTCTCCCACGCGCGCGGCGAGATGGCGAGGCTGCAGGAGCCGAAGGCAGAAGCAACGGCATAGGCATACACCTTCGACGCTCCGCACGGAGCGGAGCTCCAAGAGTGTGTGTTCATCCCCTGTCTTGTTTCGTCCTCGAGCAAACATCTGGCGTCTCGTTTTCGCCCGAGGCGCGGGCACTCGACCCCTCGACCACTTCCACGGGACCCGAGGCCCCGGTAAGGGCCCCGAGAGGCCGAAAGCGGTCCCAGGGACGGGCCGTTGCCTCGGGACTGCATGTTCCCCCTCCTCCGCTCCCTCTGCCGTTCTCCCTCTCCCCGCCTCATTCCTCCTCGCGGTGCTGCGAATTCGTGGGGCCTTCACTTTCTGCTTCACAGTCGGGCGCTTCGTTTTGTACTTCACAGGCGTGGGGCGCCGCGTTTCTCTTGTGTAGCTGTTGCTTCACAGTCGAGTGTTCGCGCCGTCTGTCGTATAGTACCTTCCGGAGAGCTGCCAATTGCGCACTCCTCTGCCTACGCGTGCTGCTGGACGCTCGGCTCATTCTTCCTCTTCTTCTTCTTCTTATTATTCTTCTTCTTCGTCTTCTTCTTCTTCTTCGGGACCCGGTGAGAGGGCCCCGAGAGCCCGAAAACTATGAGAAAGAATTGCCTCGATTTTTTGAGGCGCCGGATGTCTGGGTAAGGAGGAGGCCGCAAGCTTGCGCAGGGAGCTCGACCAGAGCCGCGGCGAGGGCGCGGGCCTGCGCTGCGAGCTGAAGGGGGCGGAGGCGGCGGCGGCCGACGCGAGGCGGGACGGCGAGGCCTTGCGCGGGGAGCTGCAGCGGTGGAAGGAGGAGGCCGGCAGCGTGTGGCGGGAGCTCGAACAGAGCCGTGGCGAGGGCGCGGGCCTGCGCTGCGAGCTGAAGGGGGCGGAGGCGGCGGCGGCCGACGCGAGGCGGGACGGCGAGGCCTTGCGCGGGGAGGTGCAGCGGTGGAAGGAGGAGGCCAACAGCGTGTGGCGGGAGCTCGACCAGAGCCGTGGCGAGGGCGCGGGCCTGCGGGTGGAGCTGCGGGCCGCGAGGGAGGATCGGTACGATCGAAATGACACTGGAAGAGAACGGGGATACGAAGTCCGACAGCAG